ATCCTCTTTACTCTTCATATGTTTGAGCGTTGACATTCCCTCCTCCTCCTCCCCTTCATTTTTCTTCGTTCTTCTTCTTCTTCTTCTTCTTCTTCTTCTTCTTCTTCTTCTTTCTTCTTCTTCATCGTCGTCGTCTTCCTCGTCCACCTCATAACTGACATATTATCCTTTTTACTCTTCTGCTAGAGAGATAACATTTCCCTCTTCATCTTTTCTCCTCCTCCTCCTCCTCCTCCTCTTCTTTCTTCTTCTAGTCTCTATCTCCCTCTTCCTTCTTTCTTTTCATCTCTTTCTCCTCCTTCTTGCTCTTCATCTTCCTCGTATTCGTCCTCTCCTAAACCGACATCTTATCCCCTTTACTCTTCATATGTCAAAGTGCTGACATTCCCTTCTTCTTCTTCTTTTACTCAATCTCCTTCTCCTTCTCCTTCTTCTTCTTCTTCTTCTTGGCTCCATCTTCTTCTTCTTTGTCGTTTTTCTCCTACTCATTCAATTCCGCCGCCTTCCAATCCTTATCCTCCTCGTCTTTCTCCTCCCACCACATCCTTTTCTTCCTCTTGTATTGTAAACTCTTTACTTTCTTTTCCATCGCTCTGTCCAGTTTTCACTTGTCTTCCTCTTCCTCCTTTAAACTCACTCCGCCTTCTCCCGTCTTTGTGTTTACATCCTTTTTTGGGTTCATTTCTCTTCCTCTTTGTTCAACACCTTTAACTTACCTCCTTTCTTTCTCTCTCTCACGCTCTCATTTTACTTACACTCTCTCCTCCTCTTTACTTGAGTGCCTTCCTCCCACATCGCTTTTTCCTATCCTCCTCCTCTTCCTTCTTATTAACTCATACCATTTTACTCTCCTTTTCTCAAGATTCTACATGTCCCCCTTTTTTTCCGTTTTTTCTTTGTTTTTTTTGTTTTTTAATTCAGCGCCCCTTCTTCACTTCATGTACCAATCTTTCTTCGTTTCTCTTTTCTTCTTTATTGGGTCACCTATCACAATAGGCATCCAGCATTGCCACTCTCACAAACAATTTCCCACCTCCTCCTTTGCCCGTCACCTTTCCACCCCCACCTCTCAATTTCTTCTGTCTCTATTCGTCTTCAGCCTCCTACTTGCTCCTGTTTCTCTTCTCCTCTTTTCAACATTTTGGAAATCTCCATTCGCATTCAGGCTTTCCTCTCCATTGTACGTGGCTTTCTCTTATCCTTCATTCTTTTTCTGCTTCGTGTTTCTCGTTAACCTGAGTTGTCCTCTGACCCTTATTTTCTTTTCTTTCATTCCTGCTTTTTCCTGTTGCTTCTAGCTGTTTGTGTTATTTTTTCCACAGCTTGTTTTATATTTTAACATATATATTATCTTTAATATATTTTTTAACATATATATTATTTTTAACATATATATATATATATATATATATATATATATATATATATATATATATATATATATATATATATATATATCAGGAATATATGTTTATATATATATATATATATATTTCACATTTTATTTCTTTTTTTTTTTGTTAACATCATTTAAGTTCTTCATCATTTCCTGCTTTAAGTGAATCATGAGAATTATTTCCAGCATGTTGATGCTTTTCTTCTTTTTCTTCTTCTTCTTCTTCTTCTTCTTCTTCTTCTTCTTCTTCTTTATATCTTTATTATATTTACTTTTTCATAGATTTTCCTTGGTGATTTACTTGTATTTCGGCATATTTCCCAAACCAATATTTCTTCTTCTTCTTTTTCTTCTTCTTCTTCTTTTTCTCCTTCTTCTTCTTCTTTCTATTTTTCCTTTTCCTTTCTTTTTCTTTCTTATTTTTTCCTTGGTAATTCCTTTAAATTTCACCATTTTTCTTCTTTTTCTTCCTTTCTTCTACTAATAATATTATCTAATGATAATAATATTCTCTAATAATAATAATTCTACCAATACGATTATTTCTTCATTTTATTATAATTATTATTATTTCTTTTCTGCTGTGTAACATTCACGTCTTCACTCTTCATCGACAGAATAACATTGTATTTTTCATTTTCATTCTTTCTGGTATTTTTAAATTTTGAATATTAATTTTTTTTTTTAATTACTTTTTTTATAATTAAGAGATGATTTTCTTTCTTTCTTTCTTAATGCGTCCATTCTTAAGTTTCTTTCTTTCTTTATTTCTTAATGTGTCAACTCTTTCTTTCTTTCTTTCTTCCTTTCTTTCTTTCTTTCTTTCTTTCTTAATGCGTCCATTCTTAACTTTCTTTCTTTCTTTCTTTTTTTCTTAATTTGTCAACTCTTTCTTTCTTTCTTTCTTTCTTTCTTAATGCGCCCATTAAAACTTCCTTTCTTCTTCTTCTTCTTCTTCTTCTTCTTCTTCTTGGGTTTTTTCTAATTATGCCCTCCTCCTCCTCCTCCTCCTTCTTCTTCTTCTTAGGTTTCTTCTAATTATGCCCCTCTTCTTCTTCTTCTTCTTCTTCTTCTTGGATTTCTTCTAATTATGCCCGTCTTCTTCTTTTTCTCCTTCTTTTTCTTCTTCTTGGGTTTCTTCTAATTATGCCCTTCTTCTTCTTCTTCTTCTTCTTGGGTTTTTTCTAATTATGCCCTCCTCCTTCTACTACTTCTTCTTCTTCTTCTTTTTCTTCTTCTTCTTCTTCTTCTTCTTTTTCTTCTTAGGTTTCTTCTAATTATGCCCTTCTTCTTCTTCTTCTTCTTCTTCTTCTTCTTTTTCTTTATCTTCTTCTTGGGTTTCTTCTAATTATGCCCTTCTTCTTCTTCTTCTTCTTCTTCTTCTTCTTCTTCTTCTTCTTCTTCTTCTCCTCCTCTCTTTTTATTCTTTCTATTCTACTTTTTCTTCTTTGTTGTTATCTTTTTCTTCTATAATAACTATTATCTTTATTCTTCGCCATTTTCTTTCCTCCTTCTCATCTAAATCTTTTATTCTTTAATCCTTTTTCTTTTTGTCTTTTTAAAAACTATTCTATACGATCGTTATGTTCTCCTAATCTCCATATAATATTTCATATTTATTTTTTCTATACACTCCTTTCTCTCGAAATTTAAAATCTCTCTTAATTTAAATTCTCCTTTCTCTCCAAACACCAAGTCTTCTTTCTTTGTATATTCTCATTCTTACCCAATATTACTCTCTCTTCTTCTTTTTTTTACTCTCATTTCTCTCCATTCTTCCTCGTCTCTATTCTTCCTCTTTCACTTTCTCTTATCTTTATCTCTCAGTTACTTTTTCTTCCTTTTCTAAATCAACTTACGCTCCAATCGCCACTTTTTTTTCTTATCTTCTTTTCTTGAGCAACAAAATCTTCCAACCATTTTTTCTTATTCTCTTTATCCGCCAACATTCAACTCCCAATTCTTTTTTTATTTTACTCTCCTTTCTTTTCCAACACCTCCTAAGTTTTCTGCTATTTTCCTTACTTTCCTTTTTCGCCAACCTTCAACGGGCTTTTCTTACTTTTATATTATTTCCCTTTCTCTCCAGACACCACGTCAAACTTCTCCATTTCTTCCAACGTCTTACTTTTTATCACTCCCCTTTCTCTCAAAATGAATCTCTTCTTGCTTATTTCGGATTCTCCTTCTGTACAATTCCTACATCTCTTTTCTTTTTTTCTTACTCCCATTCCTTCCAAATCTACACCTATCTTTTCCTTTTTCTCTTATTGTCCTTTCTATCTTCCTTTTCCGACTCTTTTTTCTATCCAAGCGTTAAATCCCTGTTCTTCTCTTTCTCTTTTCCCACCAACCTCTTCATCACACTTCTTCCTTTTCTATTTCTCCAAGATTCTCCTCTTTCCTCTTCTCTCTTCATACTCTTGGAGAGAAAGAGTACGCCACACCTCTCTCTCTCTTCTTCCTTTTCTTACTTTCCTTTTCTATTTCTTTAAAATTCCCCTCCTGCCACTTCAATTTTCCTATCTCCTTTCTCTTCAATTTCCATCTCTCTTTTACTTTTGCTTACTTTCCTTTTCTATTTCTCAAAGATTCTCCTCTTTCCTCTTCACTTTTCCTACACTCCTCTCTCTCCAGCCTCTACCTCTCTCTTCCTTTTCTTACTTTTCTATTTATCCCAAATTTCCCTCTCTCCCTTTTCTTACTCTCTTTTCTTTCCAACTGCCACCTTTCTCTTTTTTTTCTTACTTTTCTTATCTATTTCTCTTAAATTATTCTCGCTCTTTTCACTTTTCACTCTCTCCTTTCTTTCTAACCTCCATCTTTCTTCTTCCTTTTCTTATTTTCCTTTTCTATTTCTCCAAAATTCCCCCTCTCTCCTCTTTCCTTTTCACATTCTTCTTTCTATCCAACGTCCACCTCTGTCTTCTTTTTTCTTACTTTCCTTTGCTATTTCTTTTAAATTCTCCTCTCTCTTCTTCATTCATACTCTCCTTTCTTTCGACCCTCCACTTCTTTCTTTCTTTTTTCCTTTTCTTATGTATTTATTCCAACTCCCCTCTCTCATCTTCGCTTTTCCTACTCTCCTTTCTTTCCAACCTCCACTTCTTTCTTCCTTTCCTTTTCTATTTCTCCAAAATTCTCCTCTTTCCTCTTCACTTTTCATACTCTCCTTTCCCTCCCACCTACACCTCTTACTTCTTCCTTTTCTTACGTTCCTTTTCTATTTCCCCAAAGTTCCCCACTCTCGTCTAACCTTTTCATTCTATCCTTTCTCTCCAGCCTCTACCTCTCTCTTCTTCCTTTTCTTACTTTCCTTTTCTGTTTCCCAAAAATTCCCCCACTCCCCCTCCTTTCATTTATCCTTTCTCTCTTTTCTTCTTCTTCCTTTCTTCTTCTTTTTTTCTTTTCATTCTTTTTTTATTTTCTCCAAATTTCTTCCCCCCTCTCTTCTTCCCTTTTCCTTACTTTCTTTTCTCTCCAGCTTTCACCTCTCCCTACTTCCCTTTTGTTCTCCTTCTCAAATCTCTATTCTACTCTCCTTTTACGTTTTACATTACCTCGTCAGTTCATATCTTCGCCTCCTAATCTACGAAACCCATAACCCTCTGCCACGGTCCCCTTACTTCTACCTACGCCTAACTACCTAACTTGTCGAGGTCCGTAATCATCACCATCTCCTCTTTCCGTAATCCTCGCCTTCCAACCTCCCTTTCGTTATTATCCTACTTTTTCTATTTTCCAAAATTCATTATTACTGCTCTTATGGACAGATTACGTGCTGTAGACAGGCCCACAAGTTGGGATGGTGATGGGGACAGAATCAGAGGTTGATGTTAGAGGTTTGAACAGTGATGCGGATGGTGATATTTGTTGTCCGAATTTAGAGGAGGAGGAGGTGTGCTTCTTTGGTGTCCTTTCTTTTAGATGTTGCTCCAAAATTGAAGAAGGGATGTTCAGTGTGTGTCCAGGTCGAACAAGAAAGAGAAAGAAAGTTCAGAGTGGCGGATTTAGGTGCAGAAGAGAAAGAAGAGATTTGGTGAATAGAATTTGCTAGTGTCATCAGCATCTTGGGCATTACAAAAGGAACATGATATATATGGGGTCTATTGTCCAAAATTCTCCCTGATTGAGAGAATGACTTGTGCATCTGTACAGACCACATAAAAAGATGATGGGTATGGATTTACGTTCCTGAATTTCTTTAGATAGATAGATAGATAGATAGATAGATAGATAGATGAAAGATAGATGAATGAATGATATGAATATCAGTCCGAGACAGATATGAACAGGCTGAGATAGATAGATAGATGTCCAGATAGATAGATAGATAGATCTTCCTTTAGATAGATTCTTTTTATGAACAGGTTGAAATAGATAGATAGATAGATAGATATCAGTTCGACATAGATATGAACAGGCTGAGATAGATGAATAGATATGATAGATAGATGATGAATAGATAGATAGATAGATAGATAGATATCTTGAATATGAAGAAGCTGAGATAGCTATAAAACAGATTGGGGTGTTATATATATATATATATATATATATATATATATATATATATATATATCTAGAGAGAGAGAGAGAGAGAGAGAGAGAGAGAGAGATAGATAGATAGATAGATAGATAGATAGATAGATAGATAATGATCAGTCCGAGATAGATATGAACAGCCTGAGAAAAATAGATAGATGAATAGCTATGAACAAATTCTAAGATAGATATGAATTGATTCAGGTATATATATATATATATATATATATATATATATATATATATATATATATATATATATTAGGATGATAGATAGATAGATAGATAGATAGATAGATAGATAGATAGATGAATATTATCAGTCTGAGAGAGATAAGTAGATAGATATGAACAGACTGAGATACATGTGAATAGGCTGAGATAGATAGATAGATAGATAGATAGATAGATAGATAGATAGATAGATATGAACAGGCAAAGATAGATAGATATTACCTTATTGTTGAGTATGAATGTCCATTGCAAGATATTATTGTACGAGTCAATTGTGATTTACAAAGCCTGCTCGTGAATATATGAAGTCAGACATTCCCATCATATAAGCAAGAATACGATTTACAGAGGATATATTAAAAACTAGCTCCAAAGCCGCCCTATCGGGCTCCTGCAGAAGACTTTTGAGTGGACCCTCATCATAATAAGAGTAGAGGCGATAGGCAACAATAAACTAGAGAAGCTTTCAAAATTGATCTCTGCATTTAAGTATTGCATTAATATATAAGCTTACCTTTTAAAAGTTCAACGATAATTCTTCTGCCGCCAATTACTCTGAAGACAATTTGATGTACGTAGGTCCTTACTTTCCATACAAAAATAATTTTTATTTCGATTATTTCCAAATTTATTTCCAAGTTCTAAACGTTTTTTGTCACACAAAAAAATTCGTCGCAAAAAATCACGTTCAAAAATCGCCGAAAACAATCGCAAGTAATGGAAAACTTGGGGATCCAAAATTTCAGGGTTGCGGGTCCGGATCCGGTTCAGAATGTTTATTAATTTGCTCACGGTGTCCGCCTGATTCCAAAATGGTATGATATGTCAGGCTACGTCCTGTAGGAGTAAAGTTGAAAACGTGTGACACAGTGACACACTGACATTCGCATTTATTATATAGAAGAAGAACTGTCTTACATTCACTGGATACAAACGAAGTCACAGTTATATCAGATTGATTATTTTTGAGCTTTATCAAACCCCTGCAGGTTATTTAAAGCGGGAACATATTTTTGAATCATAAGAATAACTAAGTAAACGCTTTGTTTTTATAATAAACAGTATTAACAACATTTACCGGCTTGAATGTCCGTGAAATTTTTGTTAAAAATATCCGTCTTCCGACAGGTTTCGAACCTGTATTCTATACGGAACCGTCATAAAGCCTGACGTGCTTTTGCCGATTTCGCCACAGAGGAGCGTTTCAGTTAGCAAGGTCGATTTTTTTTCGATTGAATATTACATAAACCATTTTTTCGAATATCTTAGTTTATTCAAATATATGTCTTCACTTTTTAACCCTAGATTTCCCAAAGTATTTGCTCGTAAGCCGATGTAACGAACTCAACTGGAATTCGAACTTAGCTCCCAGATTTCTCATTCTGAGCCGGTATTTATTAAACTATCCGCACGTCCATTATTATATTAATTTGTTTCTTCCCAGACAAGAGAGTGTGCTTCGATATCAGCCATTGTATTCAATGGCCAGCTACTTCCGTTTTACGAGCGCGCCCATTTACTAATGTAGCTAAAAGAGTCTCTACTGCAGGTGCCTGCTCAGGCATATTTATCGATCTGGGGCGACGATCCTTTGAAATTTGTTTCGCTATTTCGTCAGAGAAAGTATACAAAGAAAGAATTGGTTTCGGTATTTCGCCAGAGAAAGTGTACAAAGAAAGAATTGGTTTCTCTATTTCGTCAGAGAAAGTGTACAAAGAAAGAATTGGTTTCGCTATTTCGTCAGAGAAAGTGTACAAAGAAAGAATTGGTTTCGCTATTTCGCAAGAGAAAGTGTACAAAGAAAGAATTGGTTTCTCTATTTCGCCAGAGAAAGTGTACAAAGAAAGAATTTGTTTCGCTATTTCGTCAGAGAAAGTGTACAAAGAAAGAATTTGTTTCGCTATTTCGTCAGAGAAAGTGTACAAAGAAAGAATTGGTTTCGCTATTTCGCCAGAGAAAGTGTACAAAGAAAGAATTAGTTTCGCTATTTCGTCAGAGAAAGTGTACAAAGAAAGAATTGGTTTCGCTATTTCGTCAGAGAAATGCTAAAGAGGGTATCTCTAGGAGATAGGGGGAAAAAGTCTTCTAATATGGCTGCTGAATTTGAGAGGCAATGAACAAAGTGATATTTACTTAACAAGTGAGAAGAAGGTTAGTAGAAGCTAGTCTCAAAGGATGTAAAACTAGAAAAAAAAATTCTGTCTGAGGTTAATAAGAAAAAAGAGACTTTCTTTTGCAAAAGTGCATGAAAATTGGATGGCTGAGAATTGGACCAAATTTGTCAGGTCTGATGAAAACAACTTTCCTTTATTAGTTGAAACTAAATTATTGAGCATAATTAATTTTATTATGCCTATTATTATTTAGCATAAGTGGCAAAATCATTTATTTGAAATTTAAATTGTAGTACTAAATCTTTTCCAATTTTCTAGTAACAAGTTTAGTATTAATTTATAAGTGTTTCTTCTTTGTTGAAAATGTCTCCCAAGTTAAAATTGCAAGAAAAGTGACATGCTCAAGAAATGGTGTAAAAACAGCATATTAAAAGTTTTCAGATAAGACGTTTAGCTATCTTGATACCCTTTGTCGTAAGAATCTCCGAGGGTTTTATAACACTATTGGACTCTACTTTGAACAATAAAAATGCATTTAGTTTTAAGTTGAAATGTTGATCCCTCTTGCGTTGAAACCTTCTGATCCAGTTTTCCTTCATAATGTTCCTTCTTTTTTAATCTTATTCAGCGTTCTCTTGATGGTTCTTGAAAGAACTTTGAAGGTGGAAGCCGGAGTATGAATTTTCGTGCAATTACTGAAGGCCTAAATGATCTTTTTTTCCTCTGACCATTGCTCACATGTGGGGCTGACACAAAATGATTTTAACCTGTTCTCTTTCTAGCTGAGTAACTCAGAGGGTTTTTCTGGGATTCTTACCACAAATGATGTCAAGATAGCTAAACGTTTTATCTGAAAACATGGAAAAATGAAACTCAATTAGTTTAGTAAATTTTTTTTTTTTTAGATATTGAACATTTTGTGGGATGGGCTATTATGCTGTTACACGATTCAGACAATTTTGCTGTTACACCCGGTATATCTAATTGTGTGTACGGTTATTATTAGAGAAGAAAACATCTATCAGTCGCACTGGCTATCTCGCGGGCCTGTTTACTCTCAGCAAAGATATTTGCTACTTAATTCGTCAATATAGACGAATATTCTGTTCACACAAGTTGCACTGTATGTCCCGGCCATATCACGTGACTTCCGGTCTTCAGAGAACATCCAGAAGAAGGTGATGACCTCGTCTAACTGTGTACACTCAACATACGTCCGCGTTACTTCCATCTGCAAGACTTTCTAACGGATTATGAAAAAATAAATAGCACTTAGGTTGGGGGTGGGGGAGGGAACACATTTTCGCCTTTCCTCAGTCTGTTTTTTACTTCATTTCGTTTTATTTTGTACTTAAAAAGAAAAAGAAAATATTTTAAAAAAAAACCTTTTATATTTATAGAGGGGTGGGAATTATAAACTAATGACATATAAGAAGGTCTACGCTTATCTATCTATCTATCTATCTATCTATCTATCTATCTATCTATCTCTCTCTCTCTCTCTCTCTCTCTAACTCTATCTATATATATATATATATATATATATATATATATATATATATATATATATATATATATATATATATATATATATACATATTTGTTTATTTACCCAGCAATCCTTTCTTTCATTCACATTTCATTGAATACGACAAAGAAAGTGCTTTTGATTTAGTATTTTATACAATTTCTCATGCGATTTAATAATTTC